TCGCGATGGAATACGCAAGTACTTGAATCAACTGTTCGACAAGCAATTTTGGGAAAGAGTCGCACCGTTGCTGTGGGTTGTCCATACGGCGGAACCATTGGCAGACAAGCAGCAGACCACGCCAATTCGTGACATTCATCTTCCGGAGGAAAGCGAAGAGGATGTTGGACCTCCACCGGCGTATAGTGATAGCCCCGAAGAGCTTGGTGAACTTGATTTCGAGCGCGGCGATGCGGCTATTGGGCGCGCACTGACTTGTGATGATGCAAAGGAACTAATGCCCAATTCCAGAGCCAGAGCTAGCGGGGTTGGTGGCCTTAACCTGGGGTTTGGGTTTATTGACGATATCGATGCAAGGACTAGATTCTCACCAGCGGGTGGTGATACTGGGGCTGGCCAGGCTTCGTATACACCGACGAATCCCAAAACTTACCCGCGCGGGATGAAGATTGTGATGGTTCAAGTTGGGCCCTCAGAATTCGCCATCTACAGGGTCTATAAAGAGTCGGAATATTCGGACTACCTGACCTTCCGGAACGCGATTGATCACACGGCCGATTTCAAGCGCTTACACCTCGAAGATGCAGATTTACGAGAGTTTTGCAGGATGGAGAGCTGTTGGGGTCATCAAGAACAAACCTCAATGAAGGATTTGGTGAGAAGGGTGGCGATATTGGGAGGGAACGGGAGGTTGAGCGGGGAAGTTCGGTTTATGTATGCATGTTTGGAGGCGGGGATTGAGATGGCTTATACTACGATTGCCGGGGCGTGGTTGGGGATTGCGGATGAACTTGGGTCGGTTCCGTCTTTGAGGAGTAGGGGGCAGAGTGTTACCAGGGGGGCTCCGGAGGGTATTAGTAAGAAGAGTTTTAAGAAATGGAGTGGAGATCAGCCGCTTCCATGTGCTAAGGTTAACTTGGATGAGCGTGTGGTGAGTTTATATCCTTTTTATATCTCTTTCTTTTTTCTTTCTCTTTTTCTTTCATTGGATATATTTTTTGAGTTTTGCTGCGCAAACTAATAGTTTATGGAAACAGTCGGCAGGGATATGGTCATACTTTGGATTCCGAGTCTTCGACGTCATGTACGAGCCCAACCCGCTTTCGGTGGAATTTTTGTCTTCAGCGGTCGCAGCACCGTTTAAGCGGTGGGTATCGTTCGAGTTACCGGATAAATGGCAACTAGAGCAAGATACATACCCCTGGGAAGAAGGGTGCCGAAAAATACAAGCCTTTCGAAGAGGGCAAAAAGTATTCACCAATGTTGACGAAGAGGCTTTGGAACCGATTAGTGCACGTTGGAAACAGGTGCTGCTTGAGAGGGTTGAAATGGACAGGAGGGATATTTTGCGGACGCTTTATGGGGAAGAGTATGCGGGGTTGAAGTTAGATGAGCTTTCGGATCGGAGGGATGAAGGGTGGTATGGACCTTTGGGGGGTGGGGATACGGGTAGTCTGGCGATGCTTGGGGATGTTTTTGGATGGAAGAGAGGGAAGAAAGGGACGACGGTTGGGAAGAAGGATAGGATGAGGATTTTGGATGTTGAAGCTGTTGGGTATGAAGGGCGGGAGACGTGGGAGAAGGTTTTGGCCAGGGGGTTGATGAGGAGGGTTTATGAGTGATTCTTCTTGTTCTACTATTCTGGTGGGGTTTGTTAAGGTGCCTGTGGGTTTGGGCTCTTTGGTGTTATAAGATGGTTTGGAGTTTTTTTTGGGGTTTATTGGGTTATTGGGATTAAACGTTTCATGCGGCGTCATGGACTTTTCTTTATAGCAATGCTCTGTACCCGAAAGGATGGGACTAAACTCATGTGAAATTAAATGGGTAGTTGGAAATCAACTTTGATTTGGGATCGATAATGGACCGTGTAGGTTGGTAGACTTTGCGGCCATGCGATTGTAGAAGATATGGATACGTAGGTCTAGGGTATTGAAAGAGTATAAATTTGCATACAGGAAGTATGGACAGGAATATGGTACTAATGGGTATGGTATGTACAGTGCAAATGGCGCAAGGTGAATTTAGACATGCGAGCTAATATATAGGAACAGACGAAAAATCAACGCTGATGGTTCTTCTCATCAGTCTGGGTGGTTTCTTCGCGAATTGGTTCCTCTTCAACCGATGGAGAAGGTGGGAAGGGGGAAAAGGAGATGGACATGTTTCTGGGTTTTACGGAGGAGAGTAGTCCTTGCATTTTGGATTTTAGAGATTCTATGGGCGAGGACGGTTGCGAGGGGGAGGCGGAGGATTCGAGTTCGAGTGATGTTTTTTTGGCGTCTAAGCCTGCATCGGGTACGAATTTTGCTAAGGACGGGCGCGGTGGATGGCGGGAGTGTTTTGGGTTGGAGGTACTGGTTTGTTTTGCTTCGGCGAGGTTGCGGAGGACGGTGTCGAGGTTTTGGATTTCGGTTAGACTGAAGGGGGATGCTTTGGGGGAGGTTTTTTTGGGAGGGGTTTGGTCTATGGGTGGGTATTGGGATGGGAGGAGGATGAGTCTGGAGGGGGTTCGTCGGACTTGAAATGGTGCTGCTGGACCTTCGTCTGCTTCCTGTGTTTTATCTTGCTCTTGTGCTTGTACCTTTGACTCTTCTTGTACGTTTCCCTGTACTTGTTCCTCCCCCTTGGGTGCATACGATGATGATCCATTTCGGAATGTATGCTGTGTGGGGAGTCTTAATTGAGGTATCATCCTGAATGATAAGGTTTCTTTATTGGTAGCCGCCTTGGAGTGCGGCCATGGCGTTTGGTGTGTATGCTCTGGTGTAGGGGTGGTTTGAGGAGCGGCCGGAGTGGCCTTCCAGAGCTCCGGCCCGAACACAGGGTCTGGCTCCGGTTCTTTCTTTTCCTCCACGGGACCTCGCGGTGGGCGTTTGTTAATTGTGGTCAGGTTGGTGTTGAGCCCTAGAAACATGGGGTGTGTATTTAGAGGTTCGGGGGCGGGTTCGGCATCTTCAACCTTTGTGGTCCTTTTGATTAGAGTGATAGTGGGTGTTGCTGGACGGGTGCGGGAAGGTGAGCGAAGGGAGCCCCGGGACCTTCTGAATTCAATCTCGCTCAATGCTCTGTCGGTGAGGGGCTGTGTTCTTTTGGGACCTTTTTTCGGTTTTGACGATAGTTCTTTTGATGGATCAGCTTCGGTGATGGAGTCCCAGGCTGTGTCTATATTACTCCCAAAAGAGGAGATGCTTGTGTCAGGTTGTGAGGGATCCGAAGGGGGTATTGTGGTACCCTCTGCTGATATCGGAAGCCTGTAGTGGGATGGTCCGAGGGAGTTTACTCTTCTCTGCGCATCCCGGTAGACTTTCCTTAGGTACGGCGGGATATTGGCAAGGCTTGAGGGTATTTGCTCTTCTACGGTTGTTTCGAGGATTGTAGGGTCGTTTTGGTTTTCGACTTTGCTGTCGCTCGATTCTTCTCCACCAGCAGAGTCTGTTTCCTTTGCCTTTGCCACTGCCTTTGCCTTTGCCTTCAGTTTCAACTCCGCCTGTTTGATGCCAGAGTGTAGTATCAAAAACATGATATCCCCGCAGATATCCGTAAACCAATCCGTATCTTGGGATACCAGCAAAGACGCCGCGGTGTCGACGTCCGTGGTATCAGGGCCCATGAACCGATTCAGCACACGTGCACCTAGAACGAAAGGTATCCTTCTCGCAGCGGCCTCGAGGTCAGGATCATCTTCGGTTAATTCCTTCAGATTTTTCCCTAGGTTTAGGAGATATTGCTCCGATTGGCTGAAATCTATTCCTGATTTCAGGGAGATCCGGGCGTTGGCCCAATCCTGAAGCATTGGTAAATACTTTCGGTAATTGCGTGCCAGTGGGAAGAGTCGCAATTCTCGCCGGCAGTAAAGCTGTAATCTGAGCGCTAGGACGAGGTAGAAAAGAGGGTGGCTGTCTATGAATTTGTAGAAGGTCTACTATTTTTTGAAGATTATACGAGTGGTTAGAATGGTATAAAACTTATGCTGCAAAACAGTGTCCTAGAAAAGTACGACAGCGAGGAGAGATATCTCGTGATATTTATAACATACCGATATATATGCCGACGGACAGTTCTCTAGATATTTCTTAAGAACCAATTCTGTGGCGTCCCGCAGAAACATGTCGCCATAGGCCTTATATTCCTTTTGCCGGAGTAGCATCTTCATGTCGAGTGGATCCAACCCCGTCATGTCCCAAAGCTGGTCATCGAAGTCGTTCTGCAATATTGCAGCGAATTGCGAAGGTTTCATCTTTCCTGGCAGATACGTTAAAGGTAGCGGCCTCTCCGGGGAGAAGAATGTCGAAGTGGCCCCTGCCTCTACCAATAACCGTTTGACGTCCGGGTATGCTCCTTGAGGACGTAGCAGATAATTTTCGAGAAGTGATGCATTCCGGTCCGGACTTAAGGGTAGCCGTGGTGAATCAAGCTGGCTCGGAGGTAGGACCACGAAACGAGGCCTCCCCAATGCATTGCATCGAGACGGTCTTGGCCTGATGCCACTGCATCGTACCGCTAGCATAAGGGTTGCTGGTACGGCCTCACCGTCGCCGGTACGCAGGTACCTACGCACCGTGAGGTCAGGGAGCCCTAACTTCTAGCTCAATGGCTTGTAGTTTTCTAGCCCTTTGTCGCGCAGGTTAGCATCTCCCAATATAATGTTGCATGTTTGAGCGCGCGTGAGGTTTTTGCATGTCGCGAACGAACATTTCGATGGGTTGCAAAATGCAACAAAGATTTTGTCTTGCTTTGAGTTGGCTGGTCGTCGTCGAACTGTGTGACGTCCCGACTAAATCTGAAAGATTGTGGCTGTCTCAGGACCGCGCCCTGGTAAATTTCATTCGCGAATTATAGTATATACTAGGTAAGTAGACATACAAGACAGCATTGATCCTCAAATAGCTCCAAGCTCAGTTTGGTTACAGGGCTGAGCTCCAAGATATGGGTTCAAATTTAGTCGGATATCTACTAGAGCAATATATACTCTAAAAGATAATCCGGTCCTCGTAATCAATGGTTGAATAGTGTAGTTGGTTATCACATCGGATTTTGATTAGATCTTTCCAAGGTCGTCGAAACTTTCCGATAACTTGGGTTCGAATCCCAGTTCGACCTTTTTTGCCTCTTACTTGCGCTGGTCTCTTTTTTTGCAGGTTTGCTGCCCAAAAAAGCTTTGGTTGGCCACTTGGGCAAACTATCAGGTCTGTCCGGAGCACGGTTGCACAATTGAGAACGTTACGATTCCTGTCGAAAGATGGAATTGCGCTGACATAAAAACTCTTGATACGATACTATCGAAATTCCGGCTCAAATCATCTCGCACGATCACCCGAATTCCACAGGCGTTTTAAACAAATTTGGCTCCAAATCTGATGTTTTCGATTTGTGCAATATTAGATCTTGAAGCTAGCATTGCATTGTGTTGATGGAACTAAATGCAACAAACTTGGGATTGCATGAGCAGATATCTAGATAATTCATTGCACTACGTACTACCTTGGAATTCTAATTAGATCGATAAAGAATGTTGGCCGGATACCTGTGGCCGTAGAAAATTTTTTAATAGGATACGAGTCTAATATACGGCTAGAGTTGATACGCATAGGTGTCTACGATAGTTAGTCGACCTTCAGCGAAACAAACATGCAGCCGCGCCCGGTTTTTGTATATGCATTGCACATTGATTGGGTAAGTATTTGACTTGGCTGTGCGCTCGTATAGGCGGGGTAGGTAGGAATGAATGAATAGTTAGTCAGCCCCGCCTAGTGCCTGCAGGTGCTCGCTAAAAGTAATTATAGCAATAATATAACGTGGGTAAGTTAGCGTAAATACATGTATACACATATGGGAGGCCTATGATCCTTCTCACGCCCCTATTTTAAATATTTCCCGCTTCCTTGCCCGGATTCAGAATCGAAAGGTTTGCGATCATACTATAGTCGTTTCTGTGCCTCATATGAGCTCATGTCGACTCCATTCGGAATTTATATTCACCCATTTCTCAACTCTATCTGTTGGATCACGCTTTACCACCCTTCGGCCGGATAGCCACACCCGCTTTCACGCTTCAAGGGGACACCAAGCCACCAAATTTAACCTTATGCTTCGCGGATAATTGCGCCAAGGGATTATATTATAAATTCGAAAATGGATCCACTATCAGTTACGGCATCCGTTATAGCCATAGTTACAGCAGCAGGCCAAGTCAGCAACGGCCTAGCAAAACTAGCCGCTCTCCGGGGGGCGCCAGAAATCATCATGGCCCTTCACAACGAAGTCAGTGATCTCCGCTTGGTGGTACATTCTTGTCAAAGTATACTGGATAGGCATGTCACCCTAGGCGGCTGGCAGAATAACGTCCGGGGTTTGCCTCATGAGCTCATTGGCGTCAAGGGCCTGCTAGATCGGGCGACGGCCGTGTTAGACGGTATTCTTCAAGTTATCAGCACAAAGCTCGTTGATAGTAAAGGGGCCTTTAGCAAAATTGGCTACTTGAGGGAACAATCAAGATTAGTGAAGGCCAAAGATGGGCTAAGGGATGTTAGAATGGAAATTGCGAACGGAATCGGCCTGATGAATTCGTAAGTGTATTTCTTTTGGCGTGTAAGTCTGCTTCAAGGCTCTAGTCGACCTCTACGAGTTGCTTAGGCATCTAGCTACAGTAGATACATGTGAAGTGAATATGTGTGAGTGTATCTAGTAAAGGTGCTAAAAGAAAATAGGGCGTCGTCCTTCCACCTCCAAGCTCGTATCGAACAATTGGAACTCTCCATAAGGCAAAGCATCCAGTACCTTGCCATTGACAACCAAAACAGCCAGGCACAGATACTCTCTTCGCAGAGCCAGCTCTACCAGAAGTTAGCGACCTTCAAGCTATAGCTAACGGCCATGCCCTTTCACAAATCTACGCGCCCCAGTCGCAAACAACTCCGAGGTTAATTGATTGTAGGGCCCAAGTTGGGAATATACCGCACGGCGCTCTACCTTCGACGTCACCATCAAACCCCCCTTGCCGATCAAATTATTCGTCCAAGCAACTGGCTGCTCCCTATCGAGACCATAGCGTAATCGTACTGGTCCAAATTTCGCCGAGGAATTTGTGCGATCCTATGTGCAGATGTTTATGCCACCAACGAAGAAACATAAGAACGCCTTCTATCCTTTCTAAGTTTGTCGGAAGTCTCTTTGTTGGATATAGCGGAGTACCGTCTATATCGCCTTGCACCATTCGCAGTTGCAGTCGTCATAGAGAGAAAAACATGAGACTGCAATACTTTTTCCCGAGATGGCTCTTGGAGGGTATGCTGTCTATAGATGTCCGAGTATCCCAGTGCCCCGAAGTTCTCATAAAGGCTTGGAATATACGGAATGATAGCATGGTGCCAGAGGAGGACCCATTTTTATTAGCCTTTACTGGAGATTTGGACGGGATAAAAGCGCTTTTCCACGAAAGGAAGACATCGGTAAGGGATATCGATCCGTTCAGAGGGTGTAGTCTGCTTCATGTAATCACCCCCCCCTTTCAAATCCGGCTAGATAAAACAAACATGCAAACTCATGAGTTCAATGGCACGACTAATTAATGCTCTTTATCAAGTGGGCTATTTCTATTAGTTGTTTGGAAGTAAAATCGCAAGTGCGAGTGGATAAACGCCTTCAGCTGATCCGTTTCCTCATGTCGCAAGGGGCTGATGTCAACGTGGAGGATCATTATAACATGTAAGTCCGCAAATCCCCGCCATAAGGCAAAGTCAAAGGGTCTGGGGACAAGCTATGATAAAGCTGGGCCCGTACAAGGAAATTGCACGGCAAAGACCGCGAATTACCAGACGAGAACACATACGCAGGTACACGAAAGCTCTGCTAACGATAAAACTGGACGGATGGGTCCACGACATACACTGTAGCTCCCCAGTTTCCCGCTTATTTCTCATAGAGAGGAGATTCTGCACTAATAATTCTAAAGTCCCTCGCCTGGCTACTGAGTATTTCGAAGCCGTTAGAGCATTGCTCCCAGAAAGCTATATCGACTATGAAGCCCTCGGGCTGACTAGGCTCCATAGAATAATTCTGGGAATCGAAAGCGGCGACCTCATTGAAGAGCTGAAGGGGTACGATGGACTAAAACTTATCAATACAGCAGATAGCGCTGGTAAAACACCCCTCATGTGGGTAGCCAGCTTGGGGGATGCTGAAGCAACCCGGATACTGCTTGAGCACGGCGCTGACATTACGAGATTTTGTCATCGAGGGGCGTCCGTCTTACTTTATGCGGACTTGCCCGAGGTATTAGAAGTCTGCCTAAAATACTTCCCGGTATCACACATTAACTTTATACACCCAAATCGAAGCGAATCCGTCCTTCTAAACTGTCTCAACGAGGGAACGGTCCTCTTGATGGACGAAGCTGCAGAGAGAAAAAGAATCCAAGTTGCTTCACGACTGATAAACGCTGGTGCAAATATCAATCTGGGGACGGACTGGGGGGCCAGTCCGCTTAGCGAAATGGCGAGCATGGACCGCCCAATAATAGCAACTTTCCTTCTGGATTCCGGGGCTGACGTGAACAGCGTCGACGATGATAGGGTGACAGTACTGATGACGGCGGTTCGGTGCAACTCATATGAATCTCTATCCGTCATTTTGAGCAAGCCGAGAAATTTCGATTTCACACTGAAAGACCGCCTGGGCTGGAATATTCTTCATTACGTGGCTTTCCATAGCAACATCAGAGTGCTTCAATTACTTCATACCGTTGATATCGTTGGTATTGACCCCGGTAGCGGCGTTGACATCGCGAATAGCAAAAATTCAAGTGGGAGAACGCCTACCGATCTTGCAATCCGGAGATTCCAGGGGTCCAGAAAGGTATATTCAGACCTTAATGTTCTAGAGTGTGAGAAAGATGAATGGTTTGCTAGTTTCACAAAGCTCTTGGGTAGAGTTTGTAGTTTGACCAAGATATCTACGGCTTGTAGGACTCTAAACTCACGAGCTAGGATAACGGAGGAAGAGGAGAAAGAGGAGGACGGGGGGTCTTCGGACGCCGAGTATAACGCGGAATATGAAGAATTCCACGATGCTGCTGAAGATCTAGTCGATTCGACTTGATAAACCTGCTTCATTTGCGAGCATACTTTGTATTCAGTTGGTTTAACACCTGTATATACGTATACAAAAATACATTTTATATATAAACTAAAGCTTTATACTGCGCCGACACACGCAATTGCGCGGAAGCTTACAAATGTTTCTTTTACTTTCATGACCATCCATATATCGAGAGCGACGTCTAAGACTATGATGATTCATGAAATCGTAATTCAATGCGATTGTATAGCTAGGTGCTACTATGCATGCATGCATATATGTTGAGTGGACCAAACCGCATGATATGGCTAACGTTGGATATCCTTTAAAGATCTAGCTTCTGAGCTGAGGGTCGTGCGCTCTCACATCAATTGCACACCTTCACTACCGATGTCAACCGTTCAATCCATTCATTCTGGCTGTGAGCAATCGAACCTCGGAGTTGCCCAGATTTCTGAGACAAAAACCCATTTTCTCCCTCTTCTATACGTGTATTTTCGAATCCCGAGCCTGGCCGCGCCATTGCATATCCTAAAAGCCGATCCTGGCTTGGGTTTCATTGTAAAGCGTCAACTTCCCAGCGGGCTGAATATACCACACTATCAACGCATCGATCTTAGGAAGGTATCACGATAGCATACTATCGAGATTCGCCAGTTTTGGAAAATGTTCGAGAAAATTAGACAGAAAATCTCAAAGGCGGAAATTGAGTCTAAGTCCGTGGAGGATTGTCCTTCCACATACTCTAGTTCCGATTCTGAGGCCCCCAAAGCCGATATTCCAACCGCGCCCCTTTTGAACCTGCCAATCGACATATTCTCCCTCGTCACTAAATATCTTCTTCTTGCGGATCTAATATCTTTATCTCTGACGACAAAGTCTCTTCGACATATTTGCCCGAGTCCAAGGGTACATGTATTGGAGTCGGATACGGACGCTGAATTAAAATGCTTTTCTCGTATTCATCTCCGATTTCTCCCCCTAGCACCACCCCAAGAGCAGGAAAGAAGCATTCGAAATGCCAT